AGCGGATGCGCGCGAATTCGATTAACTCGGCCTTTCGGGATCGAGCTCTATGGATCTTCGAAAAAAGAACACCCGGTCCCCGGATTCGAGCCAACGGTTAGCAATTTGAAAAAGTACCGGTAGCATTACATCCGGCTTCGGATAAATATTTAAAATATTCGTGTGATTTATAGACGTATTGTGTATAAATGCTTCCCCCGCGCGCGTGATTTGAGCGCAAGAGCTCACCTCGCCGTTAAGTTCGTATCAGACTACGGATTGAGACTGGGATTGGATTGAAATTTGTCCAATCACAGTGACGTTTGCTAATCTCAAGTTTAGTAACTTTTACTCCAATTGGTCAATTTTCAATCTAATCTCAATCTCGATCCGTAGTCTGATACGGGTTTTACCTTATATGCTCGTCAATATGCCATTACGTTTATCGGGATTGCTTATGGTTTTATCGTATGTACCGGCACGTGAATTAATTACGAGAATAGGGATAATGACGCGCGACCCTTCCTGCCGTTTCCTGCGTGCGGAAACTCACCGTTACATCATCGAGAACGACACTGGTGCCGTCTGTTTCTTTTTAATTATCGCTCGATTACTCGACGTTGCACGATTCGTGCGCTTCTTGCAACACGCGCAGAAAGTCTTATCAACGGGTGATGTACATCCTGTTGATTTACAAAGTTGCACGACGAATATTAATCGGGACGATATTCCGAGATATATTTTTTTACGACGTGTGCCATGCAGGCAATGACCCGATTATGCAAGAGAATTATGCAAGAAGCACCGCCGTACGGGCAAATAATGGGAAAAATATTGTTACATGCCGACGATGTAACTTCATATCGAAGATATGGCTTTTCGCTCACGCAGATAGCGTAGTTTTTCCCAGCCGCATTTCTCACATTTCTCTCTCTCTCTCTCTCTCTCTCTCTCTCTCTCTCTCTCTCAATTTTATTGTAATATAAACTCGTATTATTCTTTGTATATATTTAATGAAACTAAAACGCGCGTGTGCTGTTGAGCGGGGAAACTCATTAAAGTCTGAACTGCAAATTGAAATCTAATCGTAATTCAGGTATGAATATTCCGAAATGTCAGAAATATGGGACGATGCTCTCTTCCGGCGAGATCGTTACACCGGAATAACAAATTGATTTCTCCCACCCTGCCTCCCTCGGACCGCCCGTCCGTTCGCTCACGAGAGGGTTAAACCCCGATGAAATTTTTGCTTCCTGTCCGGCGTTAACCTCCTCCTCTCCGCGACCCTCCGCGCTTTTGAATTCCCCGTGGTCTGTGCACGATCGATGAACGTTCGTGTCGACGTCACACAACGACGTCGACGACGACGACGACGACGACGACGACGGCGATGAGGGCTCTCCTCTAATACCTCTCTCTCTCTTTCTCATTAAAACCGTCCGTTCGCTTGTCCGCTTGGCGGAGAGTAGCGCGTCCTAATGCTATTTACACAAGTGCTCCGCCGTGGCGAAAGGGCGTCCGGGACCCGCGCCTTTCGAGGCCGTGCATGTGCACACGTAGCACACGGCTGGTGCTCGTGTTTACGTCGCGCAGATCGCGCGATCAAGCACCGTGTAATCCCAAACGCGAGAGACCGGGAACCTTGCGGCCGAGTCTCTCTTTGTCCCTTCTGAGAGAGAGAGAGGGGGGGGGGGGGGAGAGAAAGAGGGAGACCGAGACCCCCCGCGTCTATTAATTGCCAACGAAGTCCTTTTGTCCCTTGCGTTTCATTAACGCGACACTACGAGATTCGCGGAGCTACTCTTCCGTCCCGGCGAATCGATAAACCTGCGGATACCGATTTCTGTAAACAAAGACGCCGAAATTTTCGTCGGCCACGTTTCCGCCACTTTACCCACTCCACAGATTGTTCGTCACGAGGCACTTAAAATAACTATAAATAAAAAATATTTTTATCCACCTGTCCCGTTGAAAAATATGTTTTTATGTGATACGAATAAATATCTATATCCGATGACGACACCGGGAATATATTAACAGCGAACTTTATTGCAACGTGGCATACGGCTATATCTTTCCTCAATGGCGAAGGGAGGAGAAAGGGGGGGGGGGAATAAACAAACTTGTTATTCAGTTGCACAGAATTTAGACGTCATTCGAAGGACGAATGAGAAAGTCTCATACTAATCAAATTAATCCAAGGCTGATTTATCGCGGCAGCTTCCAAGCGTGCCGAGCCGTTTAAAATGTAATAAATGAAGCGATCGGTGTACGAAGAAACGGCGTCGCAGACGTCCTTCCTGGCGTGACCGGTGAAGAGAATTAGCATACCGTCTCTGCGGATAACCTTATCCTTTCCACCCACGTATTCTTATCGGTCCTTCGGATCTATACCCGAGCCTATGAATCCTAAATATGCGGACTTGCGCAATGACGCTTTTCTGTCGCCGTCGTCGTCGTCGTCGTCGTCGTCGATGTCGAGCTAGCGAATTAGGCATAGACGAACGTACGTAGGACGAAAAGCGTTGCCACGACCCAGTTTCGCATTGTGCCAATGCAGCCGATCAAGCTGCACCCGAGCAGGCGGACCTAATTAGAGAAGCCTCGATCGCCGATCAGCGGCCGAGCGTTCGCCGCCGAGGATCGAGAGACCGGCGACTTCCTCGATCGAGATCTCCTCTCCGCAAGACGAACTGCGCGTTTTCGTGCGAGCGCTGCCAAAAATTTCGATCTGTACGCCGCGCGCACAATTTCGGGGATTCTATTCTAAGCCGTACTCGAATAGGCGGCGGTACGGAAGAACCGCGTAACGCGGAACCTTGTCGAATTTTGTGGGACGGTGGAGTCGATCTTGGGGGACGATCGGCGAGTGGAAGCGACGGAACTTTACGCGGGAATCTTTGCCACGCTACGTGTCGCGATCTCTTCTTTTTTTTTTTACAAGGCGTGTCTATTTTCGTTGCCAATTACGTCTAACGACGGTCATCAATCCTTCCTGCGACGCCTCCGCGGGGGAGGTACAGTAGGTCACGCTCGACCTGTCGACGTAGGAGGCGCCTGTCGCACGGTGTCGTTCGATCCAATTTAAATATTTAACAGTGTCGATGCACGTACGACGTGCGATCGGCTCGTTATAAGCCCGAGTGGCAGGCCCGTGCGCGGTGCGGAGTTTGTTAGTCGCGTCGCGGTAGCGCGCGGCCGCTACGTATTAAGATGCAAATGAACCCCGTCGCGTCGCACCGACGGCGGCCGTCACCGTCGCGAGTCGTCGGTTCCCACCTCGGGGTGAGTCAAACGGAATCGCGAAGCACAGCGGTCTCTCCCCGCGATTCGTACGCGTAGAGACACGACGCGAGTCTCCCTCTCTATAGAGAGATATAGATGATATATAAATTTAATCGTCCTACGGGACGCGCATCTCGCATGCGTGCGAACGTGTTAATAGCAGACACGGGAGGAATCAACGCGCACTTCCTGCGAGATCCGCGCCGGTACTCCGATTCGACGTCGATTTCCTTTCGACGTCCTCCCATTGGTATTTGAAATTTTCAATTTTTTTACTTCAATTTTCAAATACCAATGGGAGGACGTCGAAAGAAAATCGACGTCGAATCGGAGTACCGGCGCGGATCTCGCAGGAAGTGCGCGTTGATTCCTCCCGTGTCTGCTATCCAATTTTTTTAATTAAAAATTTCAAATACCAATAGCTTTTTCATTAGACTTTTGACCGGGGTATTTTAAGTATGAAAATGTTCTGCTATGCGGTCCGCAACTTATCCTGGCATTATTTTGTGTATAAAAACTAATAAACAGATTTACGAGCGCAAAAACTATATTTGAATGTGTCGGTAAAACAGATGACTTTAGGATCCTCGCATTGTTCTCGTGCACCCGGTTCTCGTCACGATCGTTATTAAGGGGATGCTGGAGTGATTCTGCACTTTTGCACCTTTCTAACCTAAAAACTGTCAGTTCACGG